TTAGATTGGGTTGCTGGATACGGATCCTCGTAGTAGGCTGGACCAACATCCAGCCGAGAGAGGGCAGCCTTTAGAAGAAACAAGTTGGGAAACCAATAGAATGCTTCGCGTTTTCTTATCTTCTTCCCGCCCTAGGAGTAGCACAAAAATAAATAGGGATTAGCACTATTGACCCAATGATAAACCACTAATATCCTCCTCGTTGGGTCTCCGCGCACTGGGAAAAGGCTCTAGCGATGGGAAAGCGGCCACGGCCACTACTAACAAAGCTGCAATAAGGTATCGAGAGGGCTATCACAGTCAGGTGCGAAGCAATTACCCCCTTTTTGTAAAGTACCCCTCTTCCTATTTAGTTTAGGGGTTTAAGGCGATAAATGGCTTGATGAACCGTTATGTTCGCCATGCACCGGCCTCATTCACTTGCTTATTGTAAAGGCTGTAAGTACACAGTGCCCCACAACAAAGTATAGTGATAGCGGAGTTGAAACACAAGAGTGTTCGCCCTTTCTTTCATTTCAAGTAGGCCACTTTTTCCAGAACGCAGTCCGAGGTAACAGTGACTGTATAATAATATATAAATCTTCGAAGCTGTCATTTCGAAATGTCTTCTTCAACCGCAGTTTAACCTCCCAAAAAGGAAAGTTGGCTTGACCAAAAATATGTCCTATTAGACTTCTCCGATTTAAGTTATTGTTTCCATGCAATAATCAAATATTATCTTTTAATTTTTTTCGCCTAGCGCAATTTAATTTTAATAAGGATCAACTCTATAAAAATAAATTACTCGCCTATCACGATTTAATTATGATGAAGATCAATTCTTCTTCAATCCACCGAATCAAAATAGTTAATTAATTAAAACATTTTCTACTAACTTAACAAAAACCTCAAGAACATTTTCAAAAAAGGATTAAGTAGAATTACTTTCAAAATTAACTGCGAACTGCGTCTACGATCACTCAACTTACGACCCAGACAAGGTTCAAGGATAATTCGAAATCAATTTTACGCAATTCTATAAAAAACACCAACCAACACTACGAACTACGAATTAGGACTTTGATTCCTCACAAGAGGATACGTAGGCATACGACTTAAAATCAAGGCGAGTTCCCCTAACTAAAAAATTAAAACCTATTCCTAAACCTTAAACCTAAACCCTAGTATCCTTGTGAACAAGGTAGATCAGGGGTGTCTAACACCTTCCCTTTGTCTAAAATGAGTCACCAATTTAGAATCTCTGATCGAATTAGGGTTATTTGTTATATTCCATTCCCTAGGATAAAACATTAATGGTGGCGACTCTTATTTTTAAATCAGTTATAACACGCGTTAAGCGCGACTTGAAGCAACTTTATTTCTTGAATTTGTCCAAAAATACCTATCTGAAGTCGTGCCTTCGACAACTTATTCCTCGATGCTCTAAATACTCGAAAATACATACAAAAAGACATTAAAACTATCAAACGATACGTAAATGAATCGAAAATGTAATAATATACAAAGTATACATATTTACACACAAAGCAGAGAATTATTCAAAGAATATTAACAAAAGAACTAATAAGTGCCACAAATTATATACACAAAATAATGACAATTTTGCACTTATCAAACTCTCCCGAACTTGAACTTGTTTGTCCTCAAACAAGGCCAAACAACTCGAAGAACAAAAGTAACAAATCAAAGAATCATGAATCAACAAGTTTTTAAAACGGAAAACAAATGTATGATTCAAATAAAAACGTACATGTAAAATAAATACTTACCACCATCCTACAACGACAACATGAAAACGAAACGAATCCTAAGTACAAAAATCATACAAAAAATTCTAAAACAAAACAAGTTTAATCGTGAATCACACCTAGCATAAATTCATCGGTAGATGAAGAACACACAAAGATGAGGAACAAAAGCACTCATCCACAATCTTGCAAACTAAAGACTAAATTATGCATTCATCCAAAAATTCACATTGAAAATATAAATGCAAGAATCACAAGGGCTTTTATGGTTGTAATGTGGCTTAGTTAACAAATAATGAATGATTCCTAAAGCTAATCGAAACAAAAAATTCCATAAACCTAAGGGAATGATCAACTCACAAAAGCTCACACACAAAATTTCAATCAAACTTCTTCATTATCCCAAATTTCACAAACCAATCACATACTTATTAGCACAACATTATTCTACTCTTTTTGTTTTTCTTTTTCAAAACTTTTTCAACCCTTTTTTTCTTTCTTTTATTTCTTTTTATTTATTTTTTGTTTTCTTTCTCTTTTACAACTTCATAGCAATCACAACATAAGCACATAGACATTCATCTCCCCAACTTGAATTCAGTCATATCATCATATGAATACTCCCTACTTTCTAAGGCAAGGTAAAAATTCATACAATAACATAAAGTTGAGGATTCAAGAAAAAAAAAACAATCAAAATCCATACAAAAAGTGAATTTGATACTCATAGACAAACATCAAGTTCAAACAACATGGATAATGACCAAAGACTCAAAGGGGTTACAAATGATCACACACTCACAAAGTGAAATGACTACTTGGTTAGTTAGTTATGCTCAAAATCAAACAAAATACCTTGATCACGTTCATGCAATCATACAATCAACATAAATAAAAATTAAACATAATAAAGTCTAGCTAAAACAAGAATTGTGGCCTCCAGCATATATAAACAATGAAAAACTTCCTCACATTTATGGATAAAAAGGAAACTAAAGTGATTCAATCAAAAGCAAGTAATGCAAAAAGAATAAATGGTATAGTAACTATACAAATGAAAAATTTCCTAAACATGTTGTGCTATAGAAAGCGATAAAGGAGTAACTGGATGTACCAAACTTTGAAAACTATCGTTACCATACATCCACAAGTTTAATCAATCAAAATCGAAAAATTACCTCGAAATTCTTCAAGGCTTTGAAAACTATCATTACTATACGATTAGCATATTTATTTGTTAAATGTTTTGAGTTTGATTAAGAAAAAAGAAGTTTGAAAAGAAAGGTCACTCAACATAGTTGAGGTTTTTATGAAAGTGGTTCGAATTTAGAAAACAATGAAGGTTTTGAAATAGATGAGAATGTTTTGAAAATTAAAGAATGGGAGGAGATGTAAAGAGTATCCTATGTACAAGAGAGTAAAAGATAAGGTAAGGAAGATCTGACCAAACAAAAATTCATATTTGATATAAAGAAATCAATATAGTGTTCCCATTCATTTAGATTAAAGCCACAAGAAGATAAATAACCAAGAGTATATCAAATCTCAGGTGAAAATAAATCACAAATAGAAAATATTAGAGAAACTCAAGGCGTCAGATAATACTCAAAGCAACAGATAAAACGCATCAAGTGAAAATAAATCACAAACCGAGAAAGTGCACCAAATAAGCTCAAGGTGTCGGATAAGAATCCTGGTATAAGATGAAGTTCCCAACAAACAGACAAAACCAGGATAACATAAAAATAATCTGAACATCTCATGTGAAATAAAGAGTCAAGTCTGAGTAGATTAGAAACATGTATCAGAGCTAAATGAAACAAATGAAATATGAAATGGATGTTTAATTAATTAATTTAAAAGTTAATTAAGTTAATTAATTAAGTTAAGAAAAATTAATTAGTCTAAACTAATTAATTTTTAATAATGAAACTAAATAACTAAATCGACTTTTAGTTAATTAACTAAAAGCAACAAAGTGGTGTCAAGATGAAGTGAACATATGAACTATCTTGAAAGCCTTCACAAATAGACAAGTTAGTAATCACAAGGTATAAAATCAAAATGAAACTTGTATGATGTATATGAACAATTCAAGAACCAAGCAACTGTGATTATTCAAGGATTTCAATTCACAAATAAAACTAAAACCCAAGAAACTCATGCTATTATTCAATCCAAAATCGAAACATAGAAAATTGATTTCGAAGCAAGCTAAGATCAAATAAATCAAATTCGTGCAGCCATGAACATGAATAAATAAAGCTAAAAAATTCAACTTAAATCAATTGAACGCTACTGGAAAACCATTGATATCGCAACCCAAAACATTATTAACTATTCATTCGAATTGGTTCAAATCAAAATGACAAGAGATTAAATTCAAAATCAAGATTTAAACTAATGAACCGAATTCCGGGCAGCAACTATAGGAACAAAATAGTGCTCCGAGTTTCATCCGAAAAGTGCTCAAACGCAATCGGAAAACCAAAGATATCACATCCACATTCTACATTCAAATCCAAGCTCAAATGGAACTAAATGTAAATAATAATCTCTTTCACGTCGATTCAAGCATCGCAACATAACAATTAAAAGTATAATCAATCAAAATAATGTCATGGAATTGACATAAACCGAATTGAAGGCTTCAAATGTATGCATCCATATGGTTTTCGAAATCCAAATTGAATCTAAACTTCAAAATCGCAACGCAGTAGAAAAGACAACATAATACACACATCGATCATCACACTTCAATCAAAAGCAAAACAAACATACTAACGCGATGTCGATTTCAATCAAATTAAACTCAAACACACATCAACAAAAAGGCAATCAACACCAAAACCGAATTTTCTCATTGCAAACAACACGCTATCGAAATCTCTTCCAAATTGATTCAAAAACATGAGGCGTCATTAAAGCTCAATCAACATTAATCAACACGAGTATTGTCATTATTCAAATTAACATAAACAAACTCATCACAAAATACTTCTAACAACAATGGTAGTATCATGATAATTCACACAAATAAACGCAATAAAATCAACATATAAATTTAAACCAAACAAAATATAAACAAATCGGGTATCATAATCCAATTTACATAGCAAAGTATCAACACAATAACTGGATTAATTAAAAGTGATAATGAATTTACGGTTACTTACGGAACAGAGATGCTAGCTAAAATTATACAGCAATGTCACGGCAATTTGAAGTAGCAGTTGGCAGCAAGTTCTAACGTTACATCATTATCTTCTGAACAATATGCATCAAACAGCCGCGAAGATGGCGAGCGGATGTTTCAGAAGAGAGAATCAGCGTGAGGTGGAGAAACTCCTCTGTGTTGTTGAACTGATATGATGATAGTGACGGTAGTTGAAGGATTTGTGCGGCTAAGACGGAGGGGAACGATGCTGGTTTGCTGTGACATGTGGATGTATGGTGATTTCGCGAGAGATAAGGGGTTACGGTTGTGAGTACCGTGATGTAGGTAGTTGCTGTTGATGTTGTAGGTATGAGTTGTAACGATGAAGATGAAGATGAAGGAAAAATTTGATCCGCCTCCGTTTCGTCAATTTTTTTCCTTCTCCTCTCCACACCAAACTTTATCTTATAAAATATATTAGGTCAAGATCAATGACCAAACAAACCCTCTTAGATATTTTCTAAATTTATATATAAAATAAAAAATAAACAATTTTTTATATATACAATTTTTTTATAATTTTAAAATTAAATCTAAACTAAACCGAATTAAACAAATATTTTTTATATATAATTTTATATAATTAAAACTAAAATTAAACTAATAAAAGAAAATGCATATTTTTTATACATTTTCTTAATTATAATATAAAATAAAGAAAATAATAATAATATCTAAAAGAAAATTTAAATAAAGATCGAAATCGAGATAAAAAAGATGTAAATGCGCGTAAAATATAACGATGCGAATGAAAATTAATTTAGACATAAACAATGCGAATGAGAAAAGCTCGGGGTGAAATTTGAGGTGCAACACACAATAAATCATTTTTTCTGCCTCTTAAGAAAAGTGGGATATTCTGGTTTGATGTGACCAAAACCTTCACACTCATAACATTGAATGTATTTGCTTTGATTGGTCTTTTCTTCAGGCATGGTATTCTTATGAAGGTTTTCCTCATTATGATGTCAGATGAGATGTTCTTGACATTTGGTTTTCCTCTTCTATCCAACCTTTTAAATACTCGATTGAATTGCTTCCCAAGTAGCAGAATGGTATTAGACAGATCCTCATCAGTGTCCAGCTCAGCTTGACCTTTATCATCTTCAACATTGGTACAAAAGCTATGCTTTTGTTCTTTTTCTCAACCTTGTCACCAATAGCAAATTCATATGTTTTAAGTGACCCAATAAGCTCATCAACTCTCATGTTGTTGATGTCCTGAGCTTCTTCAATTGTTGTGACCTTCATGTCAAATCTCCTAGGCAAGGACCTAAGAATATTTTTGGCCAACTTTACTTCTGACATCTTCTCTCCTGAGGCACTTGGCGCATTAGCAATTTCAAGAATCTTCATCAGATATTGTTGAATTGTCTCATCATCACTCATCTTCAAATTCTCGAATTTTGAAGTGATAATCTGAAGTCTTGAAATTTTCACTTTAGAGGTACCTTCATAAGTTGTCTTGAGAATTTTCCAAGCTTCCTTGGCTACAGTACATGTATTAATTAGTCTGAACAAATTTTTGCCAACTCCATTTAAAAGAGCATTCAAAGTCTTGGAATTTCCAATGGCTTCTTTATCATCATTTTCATTCCACTCTTCTTCAGGTTTTATAGTTCCAGTTTCAATCTCTTTCCCATCTTTGTCAATTTCCTTCACAACAGGATGCTTCCATCCTTTCAAAATAACCTCCCTTCCTTTGTTGTCCATAGATTTCAGAAAAGCTACCATTCTGATCTTCCACCAATCATAGTTTGAACCATCCAACATAGGTGGTATGTGTTTACTGTGAAAAATGGTAAACAACTGCTGGTCCTCCCAAAGTCCTAAACTGAGGGTAACTTGCGAGATCGACCAGTTGATCTCAAGACACGTGCTAAGAGCTTTACTATCACACATATTCCGTCGAAATACTAGTTAAGGGAGATGGTTTTCTTTTGACTGGGGGAACAGGTGTAATGGTTTTCCACATTATGATTTGATCGACTGACTGGTGACTCGTGAGCGATAAAAGACATTCATACGAAAGCGAGACTTACTAAACTAACTGACTGGTGTCTCGTGACCAACAGATAGTGTTGAATTGTTTATGTGAAATAGAAGATAACGTATAGATCTTGCTCGATAGTAAACAGAAAGCAGATAAAGTACTCAAAAGATATAATTGAAAGATAAAGGATTTGCATTGAAATAAAAATGGTGATTCACGTACATCAAGCACTCTTCATTCTTTATTTCCTAACGCTCGGAATGACAGAGTTTGACAAGTGATTTGAGAGTACAAGTGAACACATAAACTATACTAAATCTACTTATTTATAGTGTTTACAATGTAACTACCTAGATAAAATCTACGGCTAATATTAACATCTTAAGGTAACTGCTTCACTAGATGTTGTCACCTATTTGGCGCTCAAACACATCGTGGATTGCTGGTAACTGCTCATGATTTTGAAGTTCCACCTATTTGGCGCTTAAATTCATGGTTGATTGCTGGTAACCACCCATGATTCCTCTAAACCTCTTGAAGTAAAACGCTTATGCCTTGCTTCGACACTTTCTTTCTGGAAAAGAATAACCATACTTTCTCTAAGTCCAAGAAACCCTTTTTTGTCGACTAAAACCATTTTCGACCAAATCCTTGTCTTTCACCCTTTGGTCAACTAAACCAATTTTGACCTCTTGACTTATGTTCTTTTACTTCTTTCTAGTCGACGTAGTTCAGTTTCGACAGTTTCAGTGTGACTCCTTTTAAGCATTAACTCTAACTTAATAAAACCAACTTTTCAAACACTGGCTCCCGTTTCCTAGAAAACCCTTACTTTGGAGGATGACTCTTAGATTATGAGAATGTCTTCATTTACTACACGTATTTGAATACCTTAAGATTTTCCAAGGTAACAAAATTCCCCCCAGAGATGCCATTTTCAAATTTCGACTAATATGAGATAATGGCATCTTTGAAGCGTCAGTTTCACCATTCGACCAAATCATTTCCATTTCTCTAAAAGTGAACATTATTGTTCTGTCTTTTCCATGACGTCATGTAATCATGGTAGCGTATCATGCTTTTCAGTTTCGAGACGTGTGACATTAATTTTTGCCATCATTGCACTTTAAGTGGGAAACGTGGCCCACTAATTCATGTTGATCTTGCAGCACGCGTCCCACTAACTGACGTGATTTGAACTTGGGAAATCACAAAAGATTTTTCCCATTATTTTCTCCTTCCTCAGGGTCTATAAATACCCTTATTTCTCTTCTATTTTTCTATTTTTCTTGATTTCTTCAACCCTTGCTTTTAGAAAAAACACAGAAACTACACACTTCATCGTTGTTCTTCATCTTCATCCTCCTTCAACCTTTTACAATGGAGAATGTTAAAAATCAAACTTCCTCTCCAGCAATCGCTCTTCAACTGCGCCTTGTCGACGATAAAGCTTATATGCCAGAACCTCCATTTGCTGAGGAGAAAGCCAAAATCTGGAAATCTCAGGTACTTATCCCTTTTTCTCTTGAAGAGAAACCCCTAGCCTTTTTAGGGCCACTTCCTGCTGATGCACCCTCTGAAATCAATGTAGATGATAATGAGGCGTTTTTTCCTACTAGTACTACTACCAGACCCATCATTTCTTCTCCAAACCCTATATCACTTAAATATATTGACAGGAACTTTAGAACTGCTCCACCTCTGCATTGCCCTAAATTTCGTGCTTGGATGACATGTTTAGAAACTGCCAAAGGAGACCAATGGAAAAGGATGGGTATTTATACCCTGCTAGAAATTTCTCGATGTGGTCAACCTTATTCTAGTGGCATGCTCCTAGCTGCCATACATTTCTGGGAGGGATCGACCAACACCTTTCATACTAAATGCGGCATGATCACTCTTACCCTTTTCGACGTTGTTGCCATCACAGGGATAAAACCATCTGGCAAAGTTTTCAACTATAGAGATGCTGAACCTGTGCCACTAAGGTTCGATGTGGGTGAAGCTGGAAAACCAATATATAATAATTTCATCGACCATCATGCTAAAACCCCTGGTCCTGTAACCGATGAATAGCATGTGGCGTTTCTAACCTTATGGTTGTCTCACTTTGTTTTTTGTTCCAGGTCGATGCAGGTGGCCAAACAATTTTCTTATCTGGCTACCCAATTGCATATGGGTGGGAATGTTGCTTTAGGCCAACTAATTTTGGCCTCTCTTTATACAACTTTAACTGATGCTGCTAATCAAATAAAGTGTTTTGACCCTAATAATCCAAAGAAAAATAATGTCTTAGTCCATGGTCCTTTTTGGATCTTGCAGCTATGGTTGAATGCCACCTTTTCTGAGGAGATTAAGACCTTTAGGAATATAAAGGTAGCATGCCCTCCATCTCAAAGCCATATCATTTGGCAACGCCTTCTCCCTCTGACTCCTATTGACAAGGGTTCCCCAAATCCTGAAGTCTTCAGACTACTATTTACCATTATGTTGACAAGATTCAATTTCACACCCTCCATGGCCCCATTTCATGATAAACAAGATGGCCCATAGTGGTTTACTAGGGATTTTTCACCTGCAAGAGAAGAGGACAAGAAAAATTCCTTAATCCTCTGGAGGCGTTACTTAACTCCCCAATTCATGTCTACTATGATTGTCGGTGTGAACCCGGGTTTGATCGCTTATCAGACTAACTTGGTGGCTCGATAATTTGGACTCTCTCAACTTGTTCCTAAGTCTTTGTTCAATTCTCACAAGCTGCTGGTAGACATCATAACTGACTAACCCTTCGAAATGATCAAGGATGATATAGGGAATATATGGGCATGAAGACCCACACTCACCCTCACTCCTTTCCAACCGTCTTTCTACCGCACCAAAGAATTTGAAACTTGGTGGTAGCCATATTTTGTTACATTCATTGGTGATTCTAATGCCAAGCTGGTTGAACTGACTACAACTTTCTCAAATTTGCAGGCAAAAGCGACCAAGTGTAAGATTACTCATATTAAACAAATTCGAGCTTTCCAAAATTACTTCTGAGTTGTGTATCGACATAATAATCTTCGTCGGACCATCTATGAGGCCGCTTTCGAATTAAAGGAGAAGGTAATCGATAGGATCTCGACACTAAAAATCCCTGATTATGCAAAAGACAAATATCTTTACGCTCTTCATTTTGGAAACATCATTCCTCCTTTGCCATCCAGCCCTTTGGCCTTGGCCTTTGGCCCACCTATTCCTGATTGGTGGTATTGCTCTATACCGGATATGTAAAATGCCTATAAGACAAAGGCCGACAGAGTGGTACCGACGAAGTATTACCTACCTAACTATTCAGGGCATCTTCATTATGATCTATGATATGTTAGAGTACTTTCGACTACACAAACCGGTAACGATTTCTGGAAAGCTTACCCCCCT